GCGAACTACTGCTCGGATGGATGGCTTTTCTTTGCTTTCTCTGGAAGCGGTAAAGAACTTTTTCTATCAGATTTGATTACGCGGACTCGTAGAGTTAGAGCTCCGTTATTCGAGATGGGCATCAACCCTTTTAAATGTGGATGGTTGTAATCTTCCGCACTCCTTACATTACGATCAGCAACCTTATGACTCCTAGTTACCTGCTAGATCTGTTCTTTGCTGATATGACCACTGCATCCAAATCTTCACGAGCAGACTATCAACGATCCGATGTTTCGTACAGGCACAAAATATGGAGTGCTAATTAGACATCTTCTGCAAGGATGTTAAGTTTCTTAATTCCTTCATAATTTGCTTTCTAAAAAAATACTACTTTATAGGTGTAGATCATGCAGATAGGTCATGCAGCGTATACTGAAAATGCCTTCGCATCTTCCCTGACCTTCAAAGGCTTTCCAATCGCCAATGATAATGTTTTCCGTAATGAACAGTCAGCGCGTCTAACCAAAATTCAATGTGTTCATCCGGTACATGATAAAACGTAATGTGCCCGTAAGTTTCCACCCTCTGAAAGAACTATGATGCGCAAGGGCAATATGACGTGCTGCAATCATCAACTTTGACAACGACACAAGCTGCAGCTGCTTGCCGCGGTGACATCACTGATTCAAAGCACTATTGCTGTTACCATCGTACCCGAAGTGCGCTGAAGAAATTAGCGGCTGACTTTGAAATACTATACGCGATGGTCTAGAAAATGCAATTGCTGTGCACTTGTGCGTATCAAACCACCATATAAATTGTCAAGCAATTCTTTTTCTCAGCACCACCGATGACATGCTCAGACTTGAAATGATGTTGACCAATTTGCAAGGCGAATAGTAATAACAAACGTGAGCGGTAACGTCAACGTGTTGGAATGTGATGGCGGCGTCATGTGAAGATCAGTAAAATAGCAGCGAGACCGTGAGCGAGGCAGGTATCCGTTTGCTGCGGATTGGTCATTACCATGGCGCTGTCTACCAGTTAACCATTCTTTTAGCTTACGCAGGTCAAATTTATCGAGTAGCATGATAAGGTTCAGACGCCACGTTTGTCAGATCATCAGAATACGAATAAACGTCTATATGCCATCAACAGCTCAAATAAATGCATGATATCTCGTGGCTGGTATGAAACAACCAGCGAATGATCCACCCACAAAAGTAAGGCCAAGTAGCAGTCATGCTAAACGCTGAGGTCTGATCCGTTTGTCCATTTCATCCAAATATAATCGTGATGCTAACAAACAAGCCTTGTTTTAAGTCCAAAAAATCTTCGGTAATGCCCACATCTTGTATGAGTTTTTACCCGTTACAAGTCGAACTACGTCGTCTCGTCTAGCACTTTCGGTGTAGTACGGTCAGCGACTGCGGCTGCGGCTGCGAGGTCCACCCGACGGTGGAGGCTGAGGGGACCTGAAATATGGCACACAAAAGCAAGGACAAACTTTGGTCAGCAAAGGCCAAAGACCTATACACACAGCACGGATACGTGCCAGCTGCGTTCACGACGCGATCCGTGGCGCGAAGACATCTCCGATCGACTGTAACGACGATACACTTGAGGAGAACTGTCTAATTCTCGTTCCACGTAATCGTGGGGTGCGCGTTGCTCGTTCCGTGAATGCGGCTCAAAATAGGGACGACGCTCAGATTGCTGGTGAGCCTCGACTCCACTAGAGCGTCCATACGAGCGGTTACTATGAGTTTCATGCGAACGCTCGCGCAGGTCCGAAGTCTCCTCGCCTCTTCGTACGCTGCTGCTGCTAGTGTGGCGTCGATGGTGCTCGGGAGAACTACTGCGTCCCCGAATTTCCAGACCTTCACGAGCGTGTCGCGATGAATAATGGCGACTTGAGTGGTGGCGATGATGGTGACGGTGATCAGGTGACTTCTCAAGATCGTCTTCGTACCTGCTCTTCTTTCCAGCTTGCGAATCGTGCGAATTGTAACGCACGCGCCCACCGCTTCGGTCATCACCTTCATAAAACCCATTGTCTTCGTGAGAAACGCGCTTCGGTCCATCGCCTCTACTCCTGCGTAAGCAAAGTGCAACAGAATCAGCTTAATCCGCTATCTATGACCGGTTTCTATGATTAAATCTTAAAATCCGCATACTTGCGGAAGTTATAGTCCGTGCGCAGCTGCTGACCCGCAATCGTAATCGTAGCACTGTGCGCCTTCTTTGCCGAAGAAATGTCCGTGTAATCGACAAAGGCTGACATCGGGGCGCCCGGTCTGGCCTGAGGCAGCACTTTGACATTCTTGACCTCTCCGAATCGACCAAAAGCCTGGTCCAGCTCACTCATTTTGATGTGGGACGGAATATTGGCAACAAACAAATTAGGAGAAGCGCCGACGGGAAAGCGCGGGTTGTGCGTCTGAGAGGGCGGTGTTTGGCTCGCGGGGTTCTGCATGGACGGTGGCGGGCCATCGAAGCGGCGCTGAGTGCCGTGTGAGACAGCAAAGGCCACACGCAAGCGGCGACCACCTAGCTCTTTGTCGTTCATCTGCCGAACGGCGAGTTCGGCGTCCTCTAGTCGCTCGTAATGAACGAATGCATAGCCTTTCTTGACGGCACACTGTTCGATGGGCCCGAACTACAGGTAGAAACAAGGTTAATGTGGTGAAAAAATGAGTATTTAAAGTACGAACAAACCTTGCCAAACTCTTCCTCCACGTCACGCTGTGTGAGCTCGTAGAAGAGATTGCCTACGTAGAGCTTAGTCGACGCCATGGGAGTCTCCTCCATCTTTACCTCTAGGTTGACTATTGAATATACACTTGGACTGGAACAGATCGGAATTCTGGGATTGGCTATAAAGCGACCGGTCGTGTAGCCATGCTGGATCTTTGCGAAACGACGGAGGAAACGACGATGGCGGCCTCATTCACAACAGAGGAGAGTGACTGGGTGTTTGACTATGTGCTTAATCTGCTCCATTCGCCTGCATGGGAATTGCCAGTCATGTGCTTTATTGACGAAAATTGCGCTAGTTTCGACCTGGACGAAGAAAATAAATTCATTTACACGGAGCTGCACGCACAGTTCCGCGAGGTAATTGAGAATGTTCTAGGTTCACATTTGGCGGAATTGGGGCTCGCAGCCACAGACTTTGCAGCTTTATGTAAGAAAAAGCGTGATGTCGGGAAAGATTTCATCAGTGACAGTCTCAGTGCAGACGTGATAAACCAGATTTTGGCCATGGACGACTTTCTGAGCTTTAAGAGGCTTATGATCAAGCGTAACCTCGAACTTGAGCTAAAAGCGATTAAGAAGTTGCGTGAAGAGGGTCTCGAGGATGAACACGACCTTGAGACACAGTTCATGGAGCTCAGTGTGCTTTACAAGCAGGAGGAAATGGAACAGGTCGAGCTGGATGCGGCACTTGCCATGTCTATGGTAGTGCAAGGTGAGCGGCTGCGACCTGTGTCGGTGGCAACAAAAGTAGCCGAAGACAAACACTCCCGCGCTAGCCATGAACGGGTGCAGTTGTCGCCCGTCGACGCACAGCAGCAGATCCTCGAAAATAAGAAGGTGGAGGAGGCATGCAAGAAAAACAAAAATTATCTTGAAGCAAAGCGCAATGAGTGGCAGCAGACAGCTGGAATCTCCGAGCTAGAAGTGAAGCGGCGTAAAGAGTATCTTCAAAAGCAGCGCGATCTACTCATTGAAAAGAAGAAGCGCGAACGTGAAGCTCAGCTAAAAGATTACCAGCAGGAGCAGAAAGCGACAGCGCCTGAACCTCCTACGCAGCTTGTTGAAAAGATTAAGAACAGCACATTGAAAGAGAACAAAAATACAGATGAAGAAGAACGTATAAAAGCGTCGCGTATCGCTTTAGTGCGCCGCATAAAGCAAGACTTACTCGAGTCCTCAAATCTGGAGGCCCCTGATTGTCGCACGAGCAGTTTCAAGATGCACCAGGTACGGACGAATGCTGCTTTATTAAAAAAATAATGATCCTTTTTTGTGTAGGTGTTTGGGCTTGGCGACAAGCTCCAGCGTGTCAAGGATCTTCGTCGACTGAGTCAAGAGCAGGAGAACAAAGTTCAAGCCAAGCTAGTGAGTGAACCTTTTTTGTGTGATTGATAATCTATTGGTGACGCATCTTTTGACAGAGACTGAGTTTGCAATCCTGATTAGACATCACGAGGTCGGGGTATGTCGCAAAAACTCTATATCTATTGCAGCATGGGACAGTTTGGGCAATTCTTAAGCGTGCAAGGATCGGAAAAAATGCATTTGCTGAAATATATAACTCATTGTATATATTACTCTTTCTGGTGTCGACCCACGACAAATTCGACATTTGTGAATGTTAGGTCCGGCAAGTTGATATTGAAAGGGTTTTGATAATAGCAGCAGTGAACATACACCTGCCCAACTTACAACTCTTGGAAATATTTGTACCGGTTGTCATTGTGTGGACTCCGTCCTCACTTTCGGCTTGACCATTTGTTCCAACCACATCGGTAATTATTTCACAACTTCGAAGTATTGCACTAATCATTTAACGCTGCACTTTTGCACTTCGCCCCTTATCTAGTAGAATAGCGTGCATTTACAGTCCTATACTCCCGACCTTGGAAGTTTACTGTACATCTCCGACAGCTCCAACAATGTTTTGATAGATGTCATGTGTGACGATCTTAGGCCAGCCAAACAGAGGAAGCAGTCGTTGGCGGTTTTGGCGAAGAGTGCAGCGGTGCTGCCGTAGTTTAGCACTTGCGTAAGGCCACTGACCTTTCGTTTTATACTTAGAACAAGTACGAGTTAGCGGATCGCAAATTGCCTTCCCAAGGCTAATTGACTCTTCGGTTTAAAATCCAAAACTGATTTTTTTATCCTAATTTTAAAAGTTTAGATTTTCCCAAATATACTAAATATATATAGTAAAATCTAAATACATGAATAACAACTGGCTACCTTGCCACATACCGTATTCTTGTTTGGGTGCAGTCACACCATGCACATCTCGTGTGACACACACCCCTGTTGTTAGGGTTTGTGTGAATCCATTACACCCCCCATTAAGATTGAGAACATTTACAGTTCCAATCGATTATTGCTTCTACGAGGCTCACGTGTCCGCTAGACACTGCAACTCAATTCGTTTGGAATTAAACAACTTCCTTGCTCAATGAGCCCTGTGTCCACGACACGGAAGTCATCAAGTCTCGCTGGTTCTGACAGCGAGCACGAGTAGAGCCCAACTTCGTCTCCCGCACGCGGCGCGACGTCGGACAGTGCATCCGCGGCACCGATGGATGTATATCCTAGGCTCGATGAGTACGAGCGTCGCGCTTTGCGCCCGCTATCAATGACGAGTGACCTCGTTGAGAATGTGGAGGTGGTCGACTACGAGTCTGACACTC